GGAGATCAAGATCTGATGACCTTGGGTAACAATCAGTACATATTCTATGGAATTTCCTGGGAGGTGTGGTTATCTCATTAGTAATAAACTACAGTCAAACTTTCATAAATAGAGTTTTGAAGATTCTAATTTCTTGATGTGTCCAACTTGCAGCAAAGTCTGGAATTTCCCCCTTATATATAAAGACCCTTACACGTTCGCTGTTTCACTTTCAGCGTACCGTTGTCCAACTTGAGGCAAAGTCCTGAATTTCCCCCTTATATATATACAGACCCATACACATTCGCTGTTCCACTTTCAGCGTACCGTTGTCCAACTTACAGCAAAGTCTTGAATTTCCCCCTTATATATAAAGACCCTTACACGTTCGCTGTTCCACTTTCAGCGTATCGTTGTCCAACTTACAGCAAAGTCTGGAATTTCCCCCTTATATATAAAGACCTGTACACGTTCGCTGTTCCACTCTCAGCGTACTGTTGTCCAACTTACAGCAAAGTCTGGAATTTCCCCCTTATATATAAAGACCCTTACACGTTCGCTGTTCCACTTTCAGCGTACCGTTGTCCAACTTACAGCGAAGTCTGGAATTTCCCCCTTATATATAAAGACCTGTACATGTTCGCTGTTCCACTTTCAGCGTACCGTTGTCCAACTTGAAGCAAAGTCCGGAATTTCCCCCTTATATATACAGACCCGTACACGTTCACTGTTCCACTCTCAGCGTACTGTTGTCCAACTTACAGCAAAGTCTGGAATTTCCCCCTTATATATAAAGACCCTTACACGTTCGCTGTAACACTTTCAGCGTACCGTTTGTGTTAAATTTCCATACCGTTTGCGTATCACTTGCGTATCACTTGCGTAGCATTTTCGTAGTACTTCCGTACCATTACCGTAGCATTTCCGTATCACTTGCGTAGCGTTTCTGTAGCACTTCGGTTTCGTTTCAGTAGCACTTGCGTCTACATCTTTCGATTTAAAAAGCGTTTGTGAAACGTTCGGTCGAAAATTTTACGGAATATATATTTGTTGAATCGAATTGTTGATAAAAAAATCATTATAAACTGCATTACGTGAAAACTATTCCAACTATCATAATAGTCTGAAGAAAACCCCCACAAAAATGTCGGTTTACACATACATGGACGTAACAGCCCTCCTCCCATGAGCCTACTGTGTGTTCCCCACACCAGCAGCTAAGGGGTAATTTAAATAACAGGCATACAGCTGGCCATGTGGTAATGACCTGTCCCTTGAAGGTATAAACAACTTACATGTCCGTTATAAAGGTTGTTATGGCAACATGACCACCCGCTGACAGATACATTTCTTTCAATATGATATCTATATACCTGAGAATCTAGGCAATGATAATGCGTTGACCATTCACCTGTGGTCACATTGGATTCTGATGTGCTGTACCTGATCAAGGTCACATTCTGTGATTTCAAGGCAATTAAGTCCATGTCAGTTAATCCAGTTCATTGTCTATCCACAATACAATAGTGCCTTTTGCCAAGGTAAACTAATATTTGTCGTCTCTTGGATAACCAAACTAATTCAATGCAAAAAAAATTATGTCCCTTATTAGGATATTCAACTTCTCACTTAGATGATTTCTTTTAAAACTTTTTTTTTTTTTTATTTTTTTTAAATAATCTATCATGAGTTCTGTTATCAGCGAGCAAGGTTGAATAACAATTCATATATTTAGTACATAATATTTTTCTTATTCGTACAAGTTTCCTACATGCACAAGCTTGCCTTTCAAACTGAAAAAACAATATACATTATCGCGCACTCAATCATATATAATAACTCCTGTAACAATATACATGTACAATGTTGACTTAAACAAGCCTCCTCTTAGCCTACAGTTTACTGACGTTTCTTCCTATGCATTGTGGGTATATTTGTTTCGTTTTAGATATTTTATATGCTTCCGCTTTTTATGTAAACCCGCTCTTGTCACCACAAACAAATCACCATTTGTAAGCGTCATCCGTAGCACTTTCATACCGTTTGCATAACACTTCCGTACCGTTTGCATAGCACTTCTGTACTGTTTGCCTCCCAGGTGGAACAGCGAACGTGTACGGGTCTGTAACACTACTAATATTCTATTCATGAATCAAACTTTATGAGTCAAATTTCTCGCTGTTTCAAAGTTTAAGCAAGGCCTGTTCGTTAGGTAAACATTCAAAATTACAACTGATAAAGCGAAGTCAAAAATGTACTTGTTCGAAAACAATAAAATGTCTCGCGGTCATATTAACACAAAATTTCTTCATTTACGGTAAAAGGCTATATTTCCTGTGGAAGTGTTTAAAGATTGGTCACCTTGACTTCATTTCACTGGGATGTCTGATCTGGTGTCCTTGAAAAATGTGTACTGAAATGTCAAGGGAGTTCAGTTGACATGAGTAAGAAACTATATTTCCTGCATGGTTATTAGGTACTTGAAGATCTTGTGACCTTGAGTATAACACCATATCTACCGTGGAATGCCCTGAGACCTTGGGTGACCTTCAGTAATGCAATAATCCTTTGTGGGGTGTCTTGGGAGTAATACGATCAGATCAAGAAGATTGATGAGGTTATGAATAATGTACAAGTGACTAAAACATTTTGAGTTTATCAATATCTTTGTCAGATCAAATACAGGATAGTTTTATTGTTCCCCGTAGCATATAAATATCAGTATTATGTTTCAGACAGAATATCAGAGCAGTTTGTTACAAAATTTGTCCAACTGAACTCTAACATGATCAAATTAAAAAAAAAATCTGCATCATCCTAACCAATCCTTTCTGATTTACCGCACAGGTTGCAGTTGTCTCCCCTTTCTCTATTCCAAATGCTTCCCTGGCCTTGACAGCTCCATATCTCTCAGTTGTCTCCCCTTCAAACTCTAACCAATCCCTTTCAGCTCCACAGGTGAGAGGTATTTGTCTACCTTCCATCCACGAATCCTGCTAATTTTTTTCCCTTTTAGCTCTACAAGTAATTGCCATTTATGTCTTTTCCTTTGCTTCTAAACTCTTCCCTCCCTCCCCACAGTCCTTGTGTTTCCGTGTCATGGATCAGTTGTCTCCCCTTCTTTCCAACACTCGAGATTTTCCAGTTGAAGTACTGATTTTTTTTATGTTTTGTTTTTTTTTTATTGGGAAGTTGGAAAAATAGCACTATTAGTAAATGGGAAATGGCACCAAGCTTCTGCCCCAAAATGTCCCCAGAAGAAACCTTGGATTCTTCTGGTACTTCCCTTCTTTGGAAAGTCGTCTTTGAATCTCTTGGAGTGCACATGTACTGTATATCTTTAAATGAGAAATATTCATTTATTGAAAATCAATAGTGTATGATGAATTTAATAGCTTTTAATGTACCTGGAACACATGCAATCTTTCCCACATAAAAGGTTTTGTTTGATTGTACAAGTGTGTGTAATCAATCCTATTGAAGCACATACATGGAACGATACACTTTAATATTATCAAAGGTCTGGGACCTTTGAATCCCTGTATACATATAGGACAAGAATTTGCTTTTAATCTGGTGTACAGCTCTAGTCCACCCAACTGTGAAAACAATTTCCAGTGTGTGCATGCATGGGGAGTTTACTTCTGATGTCAATTGAGAGATTATATCTTCGACACCACTTTTTGTATGTATATATAAACTTACTTCTGATGTCAATGATTGGGAGATTATCTTTGTCATCTATTTCTCTGTATATAAAATTTATGGTCCGTGGCCGTGTGTAAATTGTTCCATTTTGATAGTCTGGGATTACAGCAATACTTACTCCTCTTGACCGGAGCTGGGTTTTGTAGGTGCAGACATTCAAGCCTATAGTACTGAATCAAAGGGCTGTGTATTGACTCATAGCTTGCTGTATTGACTCGGCTCTGTGTATTGACTCGGATCTACAGCTGTGTTGTTACATGTAAAGAATATATGCTACCTGTTACATTTTTCTAGATAAAGAAAAGAATCACCATTGCAATAAAATAACCATGTTTTCATATAAATTGTGGCTAAGCAACATTGTGGATATTGATTGGCTTCTGGTTATTCAATGTAGCGTCTCACGAAGCTTCTAAAGGCATCACGTCAGGTGCATAATATCGGCCTTAAAGTTCACAAGAAATACATGCAATGTTACGTAAACTGTCCTTTTGTCAGAAAGATAAGTCCTGTTGTTGACATTTTATAATCATATCGTTTTATAGTAGCACAAAACCAGATTTAGTCAACGACAATTCATAGAAATTGGGTAACATTTACTTGATGATGAAATTACGTGACGTTTACATTGTGCAGGTCTATAAAGTAAAACAATTTTTCAGATGATTATTTTATAAATAATTGGACTGTTGTAGGCAGTCATGTATAATTGAATATTTCATATCATCTGAATTCTGAGATATAATAAAGCATTTTCACATACAGAAACAGAACTGATGTAAGATGCTGATAATGTTTAAAAGTTCTCTACATATTTATATAAATTAACTCACCTGGCCCGAAGGGACAAGCTTAAGTGAGCTTATGACATGGTGCAGCATTCGTCATCCATCCGAAAAGACCCAGGGTGATGATATTAGGCCAGTAACATGCTGGCATAAAGGGCTACCAAGTTTGTTCAAATAAATGACCTTGACTTATATTCAAGGTCACTGGGGTCAAATATGTTAAAAATGTTTTTAATGTCTGTATCTTTAGAATTTTTTGTCACTATTGGTATTTACTATGAAAAGAATAAGTTAAAATCAATGTTTTATATCTTTTGAATAGTGAATATTGCTGAATGTCTGCAGGAACATATCTCTTTTATTGATTTTTTTTGCACCGCTTCTATTAAATGTTAGGAAATTGAAATGTCAGATAACTTTTATCATCCATATTCTTGCATAAAGTTCGTGAAAAGAAGACCTGAATCTTTTAATCATATTTTTATGTACGCAAAATTTAATCACAACAATGTTTATGTTTTTCAGATCAGCATGTAAAAAGCAGACCAACACGGTGTGAGGGACCTGAGAGGTGAAGATGGAAGAGCCCTCATCTTCCTCCACCCCCAAACCCGTCCCTTCCAGTTCCACAGGTAGGTGTCTGTTATCTCCCCTTCTACCCCCTTACCCATCCCTTCCAGTTCCACAGGTAGGTGTCAGTTGTCTCCCCTTCTACCCCCTTACCCATCCCTTCCAGTTCCACAGGTAGGTGTCTGTTATCTCCCCTTCTACCCCCTTACCCATCCCTTCCAGTTCCACAGGTAGGTGTCTGTTATCTCCCCTTCTACCCCCTTACACATCCCTTCCAACTCCAGAGATAAATGTCAGTTGTCTCCCCTTCCTCCACCCCTAACTCGTCCATTCCAGTTCCACAGGTATGTGTCAGTTGTCTCCCCTACCCCCAACCTGAACCCGTCCCTTCCAGCTCTAAAGGTAAATGTCAGATGTTTCCCCTTGCTCTACCTGCAAACCCGTCTTTTTTGGCTTCATTGATTGAGTGTTAGTTATCTCCCCTACCTCCACCCCTAAACCCATCCCTTCCAGTTCCATATATAAGTGTCAGTTATCTCCCCAGCCCCCACCCCTAAACCCACCCCTTCCAGTTCCATAGATAAGTGTGAGTTATCTCCCCTACTTCCACCCCTAACCCCATTCCTTCCAGTTCCATAGATAAGTGTGAGTTATCTCCCCTACCTCCACCCCTAAACCCATTCCTTCCAGTTCCATAGATAAGTGTAAGTTATCTCCCCTGCCTCCACCCCTAAACCCATCCCTTCCAGTTCCATAGATAAGTGTTAGTTATCTCCCCTACTTCCACCCCTAAACCCATTCCTTCCAGTTCCATAGATAAGTGTCAGTTATCTCCCCTACCTCCACCCCTAAACCCATTCCTTCCAGTTCCATAGATAAGTGTTAGTTATCTCCCCTGCCTCCACCCCTAAACCCATCCCTTCCAGTTCCATAGATAAGTGTCAGTTGTCTCCCCTTCCTCCACCCCTAAACCCATTCCGTCCAGTTCCATGGTAAATGTCAGTTGTCTCCCTTTCCTCTACCTGCACACCTGTCCCTTCCAATTCCACAGGTGTCAGTTATCTCCCCTTGCTCCTCCCCCAAATCCTCTCATTTCAGCTCCACATGTGAAAGCCAGTTGTCTCCACTTTCTCAACCAATAATGCATCAGATTTAGAACTTCTGGTTCATAGACTCAGTTTGAAATCAAAGTTTGCTGCCCATGCCTTCGTTAAGATATACTTTTTTTTCTATTTTGAACATAAATAATCCTGTGATGGTCTGAATAAGACTGTGTTAGTCTTCACCATTGCATTTAGCAATATCATTGGTCCACATCTTGTTCACACAATGGCGGCTAGATTTCCAAGACTCGAGTATACCATTCAGATCAATTCATAAACTATACTTCATAGGTTTTGAAGTGTGAAAGTCTAATATATGAGATCTCGGAAAAGCAAACACATACCCATAAGCTTCTGTATTTATCCTGTAAGATTAAGCCTGGGGGCCAACATATACACAACCCATCTCTATCTATCATTATAACGAGTTGCATTGGTTGGCTTATATTAATTACAGGACATTGAAATAGCATTCGTTTGCATTTCTACTGAACCGCAATAGATATTGGTGGGCTTATTACCAGGCATGGGATTCATTGCCAGATTAGTATGGTATATAGAGTGAAAAGGACACCATTGAGTTGTTTCCCATTTGTCTCGTAAAGACAGTTCATTTCTCTGTCGGCCACAGATATTGCAGATTTCACGTGTGATGGACTATCCAAGCACAGAATTAATCTCTGCCTTGCTATGATAAATGTAATCTTCCTCACCCCACAAGTTTGAGGTAACAAGTCAACTGGAAGTGGATTGATTTTTGCCAGACCAGACATCGGTGGTATATAAAAGGTGTTCCTGATGTCTGGCCTTAAAGCCCCTTTGAAACTATCAATACAATCCCTGTCAGTTATATGTGATTAGAGTGCCAGGTATCAAACGTAAATATTGATCACTTGATCATCCATCCCATCATCCCATAATTTATCATCCATCCCATAATTTATCATCCATCCCATAATAACATTAGATGGTCTGATGGATAAACCCATGATTGAATCAGACTTGTCTATTTCAGATAAGACTGAATGTGTAGGATTAAAGGATTCTTTGGATTTTTGCTGGACTCTTTCAATCAATTTGTCAGACAGATAAAAAAAAAAAGGAAAAATGTATTCTTGTACAGAAAAAGGCCAGGGCAAGAGTATGATATTGTTTTGTTGCTTTAATCCGTTCTGCAGCATAATGTATGCAGGGAATTTTCGCTGCATTTTCATTTTGCCTTTTTCGCCCTCTTGTCATGAGAGCTAATTTATCATCACAGCGAATAGTAGTAAGCATACTTATCATAGTAATCAAATGTGAAGGGCGAAATTAACATTGGTGAAAAATGGATGTTACCAGCGCAGGGCAAAAGTTATCATTACTGAGTATGCATTCAAAATTCATAGAAAGTTGTTTTAAGTTACCTGGTGAGTTATTGAAGAAGAGTTAAATATAAAAAAAAATTCAATCAATCACTTGCAAGTGCAATCTTTGACACTGGTGATTATAATCCCTTTCTCCCCAGTTCCCCCCTTGCCTTTTCCTCTGATACATCCTTCTGTAGGATGCCGGGCTTGTGACCGAAGGGTTGTGAGTTCGAGTCACGGCACGGCACTGTGTTGTATCTTTGAGCAAGATACTTTACTACACTTGTTCCAGTCTACTCAGCTGTAAATGAGTGCATGGTTGGGCAGTGCTAGAATTGTAGAATGCTAGCTGTGAGCGCCGAAATGGCAGCACCGACTGTATGCTCCCCAGGGAGCTGAGAAAGAAATTGGCTGGTTGCAAAGGCCATATAACCATGGATAATAAATTGTGAACCACTTTGAGATGACCTACAAACTAGGTTGTGATAAGGCGGTATATAAGAAACCTGGAATTATTATCCCGAAGGGCCATGTGAGTTTATGTTGTACTGCGGCGTCCAGTGTCTGGCGTCCGTAGTCCGTAGTCCGTCGTCATAAAAAATAAATAAATAAATATATAAATAAAAACTTCAAACAACAATATCCTAAGAACCATTTGAACTAGAGTTATGATACTTGGGTATTTTATATTAACCAGCAGTGCGAATCAATGTTTTTTTCAGTTACAGTTATGAGGTCAAAGGTCAACTTTAAATGCTAGTCGGGGGTCAAATGTCAACTTTGGTTAAATGCTTTAACAATCTCCTTCTCAAGTTCCATTAAGCCTAGGGTCATGATATTTAGCCAGTAGGTACCTGGGATGGAGTGCTATAAAGTTTCCTCATTAAAATTACCTTGGCCTACTTTCAAGGTCACGGGTCAAATATGTTAAAAACTTCAAACAATAATATCCTAAGAACCATTTGGACCAGTCATGATACTTAGGTATGTTATGTAGACCAGCTGTGTGAATTGTTTTCTTCATTACAGTAATGAGGTCAAAGGTCAACTTCAAGTGCAAATTGGGATTCAAAGGTCAATATGGGTTAAAAGCTTTAAAATTAAAATTGTCATTTCTTATAATCCCTTGAACTAATTTTTGCATTAGTTCCAATGCATGCATCATGTATCAATCTACCTCTCAAACGTGTGATAAATTGAGGTAACAGAAATTAATTTAGCTGAAAGTTTGATCACAATTCCTTAGTAGGTATATAAGCAGAAGGGTTCCAATCACAACATAAATAGGTCAGGGGTGACCAATGGATTGAGTGGGTTTCCTATTTATTGGCTCTCTCTCAGTTTGTCTCATTGCCTGAGTCATCATCTTAAGTATGTGTGACATGTAAGATTATTTCCGTCTAGAACTTTAGGAGAAATTCAAATGAATGTTGTAGTTTCATGCTTGGTCTGTCTAGAAATTAAAGCACTTGTCTCGTGCCGTCACGCAGGCTTATCTTTTTTTTCTCGTTTGACGAGTTATCAGCCGAAGGAGATTTTTTTATAATATAAGATGTTTGTAATATTATTTTTCTTCAAAATTGTTTATCTTACTTAAAACTGATATGTTACACAAAAAAATACCTAGAAAAATATTGTTTCTGTAGCGATATTTTTTTTTTGGGCAGAATTGTGTAGAAGCATTGAGCGGCATAGTGCTTTGAGAATATGAGTTCAGACTAACAAAGCTTAATTATTCGTACCCTATGCACTATAGATCTGTCTGTATATATATATACGTAGGCATTTGCAAACCAAATTCAGTTATGAGTCCTGATGTTTCATTGGTATTGAGGGTGCGATACTGACAGGACTTGGTTACGTGAGATTCCTGTAGGTTTTTAATCATGTAGATATGTATGTAAATGATATTAAATATTGATCTATCCATCTAGTGGAAATATCATTTTCCGCAGAGTTATATTCTCATGCCAGGGGATGGGTTGAAGGTTAAAAGCGTACTGCTCTATATCTTCTTTCAATTTGACACATTAGTAAATAGCACGCATCATATACATTCGTACAGTGAGATGTATAAAATATTCAAACTTTTATCTGATGAAGTTAAATATCAAGAAATTGTAATTATATAATTATTTTTTTCTGATTTGTAACCTTGATTTAAATAAAAACCATGATAATGATGACGTAGATTTTGACATTCACAGAAAATATGAACAGAGTTGATGTGTAAAGTCTGTTAAAGTTAATTGAATTTCTGTCTCACATAAAAGGGATTATATTATTCCAAGAAATAGAATTAGCAAGGGTTCCCAAGAAATACAATTGAAAATAATGTCAATCTTTTTGCTGGAATAAAACACTAGTGTTACTGTATTATATAACTTTATATGTAGTTTTCAGAAACAGCAGTGATTATAAGCCCCAATGGTAAAATATTTCATCCCGTGTGCCCACAGTGCCACACTTTTCTCCATCTGTCTCTAACACCAGATTCTCCCCCAAACATTCCCTGCCATCTGTCCCCAACACTAGCTCTTCCCCTGAACACTTCCACTTCTTTCTGTCCCCAACACTAGCTCTTCCCCTGAACACTTCCCCTTCTTTCTGTCCCCAACACTAGCTCTTCCCCTGAACACTTCCCCTTCCATCTGTCCCCAACACTAGCTCTTCCCCTGAACACTTCCCCTTCTTTCTGTCCCCAACACTAGCTCTTCCCCTGAACACTTCCCCTTCTTTCTGTCCCCAACACTAGCTCTTCCCCTGAACACTTCCCCTTCTTTCTGTCCCCAACACTAGCTCTTCCCCTGAACACTTCCCCTTCTTTCTGTCCCCAACACTAGCTCTTCCCCTGAACACTTCCCCTTCTTTCTGTCCCCAACACTAGCTCTTCCCCTGAACACTTCCCCTTCTTTCTGTCCCCAACACTAGCTCTTCCCCTGAACACTTCCCCTTCTTTCTGTCCCCAACACTAGCTCTTCCCCTGAACACTTCCCCTTCTTTCTGTCCCCAACACTAGCTCTTCCCCTGAACACTTCCCCTTCTTTCTGTCCCCAACACTAGCTCTTCCCCTGAACACTTCCCCTTCTTTCTGTCCCCAACACTAGCTCTTCCCCTGAACACTTCCCCTTCTTTCTGTCCCCAACACTAGCTCTTCCCCTGAACACTTCCCCTTCTTTCTGTCCCCAACACTAGCTCTTCCCCTGAACACTTCCCCTTCTTTCTGTCCCCAACACTAGCTCTTCCCCTGAACACTTCCCCTTCTTTCTGTCCCCAACACTAGCTCTTCCCCTGAACACTTCCCCTTCTTTCTGTCCCCAACACTAGCTCTTCCCCTGAACACTTCCCCTTCTTTCTGTCCCCAACACTAGCTCTTCCCCTGAACACTTCCCCTTCTTTCTGTCCCCAACACTAGCTCTTCCCCTGAACACTTCCCCTTCTTTCTGTCCCCAACACTAGCTCTTCCCCTGAACACTTCCCCTTCTTTCTGTCCCCAACACTAGCTCTTCCCCTGAACACTTCCCCTTCTTTCTGTCCCCAACACTAGCTCTTCCCCTGAACACTTCCCCTTCTTTCTGTCCCCAACACTAGCTCTTCCCCTGAACACTTCCCCTTCTTTCTGTCCCCAACACTAGCTCTTCCCCTGAACACTTCCCCTTCTTTCTGTCCCCAACACTAGCTCTTCCCCTGAACACTTCCCCTTCTTTCTGTCCCCAACACTAGCTCTTCCCCTGAACACTTCCCCTTCTTTCTGTCCCCAACACTAGCTCTTCCCCTGAACACTTCCCCTTCTTTCTGTCCCCAACACTAGCTCTTCCCCTGAACACTTCCCCTTCTTTCTGTCCCCAACACTAGCTCTTCCCCTGAACACTTCCCCTTCTTTCTGTCCCCAACACTAGCTCTTCCCCTGAACACTTCCCCTTCTTTCTGTCCCCAACACTAGCTCTTCCCCTGAACACTTCCCCTTCTTTCTGTCCCCAACACTAGCTCTTCCCCTGAACACTTCCCCTTCCATCTGTCCCCAACACTAGCTCTTCCCCAGAACATATCCCATCCCATCTGTCCCCAACCAGTCTGCTTCCCTCAGTATGTGTACACCTCCCCATAACACTTGATCAGTTCCATCTGTGTCCCTTCCAACTCTGCCCAGCCGACCAACAATTCCCCTCCAGTCTGCCATCCCCTTCAAAGCACACATGGCCCTCCCGAAGCTCTCATTTTATCTGTCCAGCTAACATCCCTGCCCAGCTAACATCCCTGCCCATCTCCCTAACAGCTCTCCTCCCATCTAGCCCCTGTCACAATTGTCTCTGTCCCAAACAAGTGCCCAGCCCCTTCTCATCTACCTTACCTCATTCACCCCTGAAGACTCATTTGAACTCTTCCAATTCAAAGGTTGGAATAGTTTATTATGAAGTTTCAGGGGTGAATGAGTTAAACTTCTTGTTCCTCTTCCAAGTCCCATCTGACAGTTGACTGGACTATAGTCGTGTGTGTGTATGTTATCTAGGCGCGGCAGTCTAGTGGTAGGACGCCGGGCTTGAGACCGAAGAGTCACAGCACGGCACTGTGTTGTTAATCCTTGAGCAAGTTACTTTACTCCGCTTGTTCCAGTCTACTCAGCTGTAAATGAGTACGTGGTTGGGTAGTGCTAGAATTGTGAATGCTAGCTGTGAGCGCCGAAAATGGCAGCACCGGCTGTATGCTCCCCAGAGAGTTGTGAAAGATGTTGGCAGGTTGCAAAGGCCCTATAATTAACCATGGATAATAATTTGTGAACCGCTTGGAGACGGCCTACAAACTAGGTTGTGATAAAGCGGAATATAAGAACCTCAAATTATTATTATTATTATTATATTTTTTTGTTCACAGACAATGGTAGTGGTACTACCTTTACACTTCCCAAGCAACTGGAGGGCATCAAACCTGCTGCAGAGTTCCCTGGCATCCGTCATCGCTGGAACACAAACGAGGTAACTGTCATCACATAGTCGACAGCTATTAAGTCATACACAGTGGAGCCTCGAGCTCGTAATCCAGACACCTTTACTCTCAGTTAAAGTGGCAGGATTGTAAAGATGGTTGGGTTACACAGACAAGTTTGCAAAGGGTAAAAAACTATAGACAGAAATGGGACAACTGAATTAATTAACAATAGCTGGATTGATGATTCTTTTAAATTTCACATGGTGAATTCCCTGTTTTGCTAGGGAAATAGATCAATAGAACCTGTTGCTCCTGTGTTACTAAGACACAGAAATCTAAACCTGAGGGTAGGATTTCTTTTGGAGTTTAGCACGAGGCTGTACCGAGTGCCAAACGTGGAAATTCTTATCCCGCGGGTTGACATATGCATTTCTCTGTCTGTATCACACAAGAGTGATTGATTATTCTATTCCTCAATCTTTCCTAGCTAAGTAGGTATAATGGTTGAAGCCTCATGTTAAACTTAAAAGTCCCACCCCTGGGTTAAGATTTCTCCATCTACGTAACACTGGAGTGGTAGATTCTAGTCCAGATCTCAACTTCACAGTATAAGATTGAAAATCTGGACCAAAGCTTCAACACAAACTTTTCCCTTCTCTGTGTTGTTGTTATTGAGATACAGTGGGACTTCTCTTAAGGATCCCCCTACTTCTGCCAAAAAACTGTATCTATATAGCTTTGATAAATTATTTCTGAAAAAGAAAACATTACCTTGGGGGACTTTTATGAACAAATAATAAAGATGCAATTAACAAAATATAGTTGACATTATTCTGAGTGTAAAAATTTAGTGGGACTATAGACTTGGGATTCGAACCAGGTTGTTATACCATCGCTATAACTGATTGTTTACCTGGTCATCAGAACTGTCCTGGGCCAGCTGTGTTACACTTATATCAAAAAGGAAGTCAATTGATTGGTTACTGTCTATACAAAAACACCACAGGGCAATGGGACAGGGATCCTTAATAAAATATTCTTTCGGACACAACACATTGGTCAGATTATGCAGAATGCCAGAATACACAGACTTTATTTGGTAACTCTCATTAGAAAAAAAAATCAGCATTGTCATGTTGTTATACTCATGGTGGGATATATATAGGGCAGTTTTCACCATGGCTATTGTTATAAGATTTGTTCAAAACTGATTGTTTCTGTGTTTGTCTGAGAAATCTCTGCTCAAAAACATGAGATTGCACACATAACTAGTGATGAACCGTTGTTTTGCTATGTGCTGTCATGCAAGATTTATGCCGAACCTGTAACAAAGAGCAGTAGCTGACATCATTGTCTTTGATCTGTAGGCTGTGATGAGCTACCAGGTAGGAACTGATGATAATCTAGAAACAGCAACATGATCACGCTAATTATTGATAATGCATTTCAAAGAGCATTGCCGTCATTTCCAAATCTTCCGTAAATTGATAAACAAGCATTTCAAATTAAAGTTGTCATAAGACCATGAAATCTCTTTGGCGATAAACAGGATACAACATTACAGTGGAAATATGTAGCAATTCCTATCTCCTATCAAAAAAGAGTTCTAAATCAGTTAACCATATAACTTTAAATGTTGTACAACCCATTGTTGGCCTGTTGGAATCAATTGATATGATATGCACATCATGCATAATGGTAAAGCAGAGGGAAATATTTATGATGGAATAAGCTAAGCAATTCAGGGGAGATAATAACATTGAAATGAGTTAAAAATGATGCAGGGAAGTTTCATATGTTTGATGTTTTTATGCACTGTCGTTTGCATGTTTACGTGTTAAAATGAGCGGGGGACAATGATTTCAGTGTTCCTGTACATGTATACACAGATATGTGATTTATTTCGATGTATTTTGAAGTTTAAAAGGCAGTCACTTAACACTGGTTCAGTTTACAATAAAATCGTTGCAATCTGGAACACTAAATTTGACTATTTGTATATATTATATATTTGGTTGTTATAATTAACAAGTTTTAATTTTGTTTTCTGATATGTAATTGTTGCAGAGAACAGCCATGTCTTATTAAGCGATCTAGATCTACTTTGTGGGGTTAATTTTGTTAAAATCATTCTGTGTTTCTATCTATCCAGGAGATCGCATCAATTCTGATTGCATTTGACAAGCATAAAGAATGGATGCATGTGGAGATGAAAGTCAGGTAAGTTTGACCGTGTTTGTTGTAGTTGTTCAACTCATTCACCCCTGAAAACACATTTTGACTCTTCCAATTCAAAGGTTGGAAGAGTTCATTAGGAAATTTCAGGGGTGAACAAGAAAAGGTAGTGAAGTAATGGGGGGAAGAAGTCAAGACATGGCTTGGGGTTTTAGGTTGAGGTTGGATGGTGGTGGGGGTGGTGGTGGTGGGGGGGTTTAAGTCTATTGAATGCACATCTGTGAACAAAATGTATGTAATGTTTTATGGTAAGGCCTTTATCCATCAAAAGTTTTCTATGTTTACACAAAAACTTCGTTGAAATTCATCTGAATTGGATGAAACTTTCTCAGTATATGTACAACACAAAAATACTTCAGGGGTAATACTACACTAAGCAAAATGCATGCACAATAAGTATACGTTCGTTCCGATTGGTCAATGTTAGACTCTTCATTTCTGCACAATGACTGCCTGAAATATATTTTCATAAAATTTGTTCACAAAATATGATGATGGGCGTAATAATTTGTAACTCTTGGTGGTGCTTTCATTATTGTGTCTAGATCTGTTGGCCAAATAAATACCTGTCGTTTAGGCCCCAGATCATTTTTGCGGAATTTTTCTGTCGCAGGCCTCCCAGTGGATCAATGCTGCTGTACAGCCGAAAGAAGGTACGGTACCGAAAAGATGGCTACTGCTGGAAAAAACGAAAAGATGGAAAGAACATCCGAGAGGACCACATGAAGCTGAAGGTTCAGGGATTAGAGGTAAATCTTTAATTGAGATATATGCAGAAATTGTGTGTCATGCATGATCCATTGTATCTGATCATTTTGTTTTACCAAAACACAGTTATTGATTATATTTTGTTTATTTTTATCTATCACAAGTTATGGTTTTATTTTCAGAAATAATTTATCAAAGCTATCATCATACCGGGAATAACTGTTTCAAATACTTAGTTACATTTTTGGTAGTGGTACAGGGATCCTAAACTCATTCACCCCTACATAATTAAAATGGACTTGTCCCGTCTTTGATTTGGTAAGGTTCATTATGATTGAGGGGTGATTGAGTTAAGGAAGGCCTTCTTGTAATTTAGTAGGATTCCAATGCCCAGGCGAACTTTGATGATGACTGAAATCTATGCATACATAACTCATTCACCCCTTAGAATTCATAATACACTATTCCAACCTTTGAATTGGAAGAGTTCAAATGTGTCTTCAGGGGTGAATGAGTTAATTAGGTTGCATGCACATTCTCAATTCTGAATGTTTGATCAATTTAGGACATTGTTGGATTTCACGACATATATATGTACAAACCATGTGATCAATAAATATTCTTGTAATTATTCTGCAGAATACAAATAAAGTCCTATGTAAATTGTAATTAAAATCAATATGAAGAAATAAAATAGAATCTTTTCCTGACAGATGGTTACTCATTTTCCTTATGCATGACACATGAAGAATAATGCATCACCTTTTTAGTCACACAAAAGTGATATAAATTGCAAGACATGATTTGAAAAAAGGGCCACAAGTACAGCGTGTATGACCAGAATGTTAATTAGTTTACAACACAACAGATTTTGTAAACAGAATTTAAATTATTCTAAAATAAATTGATTTTCCAAAGAAAATAAAGATAGATTCCAATGACAAACTTGCCAACTCTCCCTATTTAGAAAGGAGACTCCCATTTAGGACCCTTAAATTTAGTATTTTCAACCAGTAATTTCCTATATTCTAAGATTTAATCACTTCACCTGAAAGAACAACTCAAAATATGTCATTTTAAAGGGTTATTTTGTTAATTTTAATTTTTGTTTTAATTTTGAGCATGCAGAATCTCCCCCATGGAAATTTAAAAAAGAGTTGGCATGTATGCAACAAAAGCCTTATTGACTTTAAAGAACTAAGTGCATTACAAGTGAAATTCCAGTAAGATTGTAACATTTGAAGGTTCTGGGCAGTGGGGAAGAAAATTGGAAACGCAGAAACGTGCTATAAAATTAGGAGAAATACAGAATGTTCATAGCACAAGTCTTTGTTTCGTTTCAGTTAGAAAAATTAATTGAATATTCTTAAGCCTGTACGGAAATTTGCCTACTTGTTCTCATGTCCTGGCCACATGGTGAACGGGGTGTTTAGTGTAATTGCCGTTTATGTCCGTATGTCTATTACCCCTACACCAGTTATCTAGCTGTATATTTAGCTCCGTCACTTAAATACTAGAAACCAAACAGCCATATAACTTCATACATGGGTACAGGTTGCCTCTGAGGAGTACTACACCAAGATATGAAATATAGGTCACTGTGACCTATATCTTCTGCTTCACTGATTTTGGTCAGACATTTTGTTCTGCAGCAGGATCATTTGATTAGACTTTGAAGTTAGCTCCATTTTGTTGAAAGCAAGAGTGAGAGTATTTATATATATCTGACAATGTTATATAAAAAATGTTTAAGTCTACATGTCACCCCTGTATTTTGTGGTGATTATACCCATGTCTTAATTTATTAGTCATACCAGTATGTAAATTAAGTTACATGCCTTTCCCCAAGGTGCCTGGGGTTTGATTCCCTTATCGGATGTGAAAAGGCATAGTGTCATCTCCCCGACCTAGTGGGTTTTCTCTGGGTACTCCAGTGTCCTCCCACATTATGACCCCCCCTGTATGCTTAACGTCCTGGCCCACAAAAGTGATTAATATAAGTTGGAATAACTTGTATCATAATTGTTGTAAAATAAATAAAAAAGTGTTTATGTTTTAAGTAATATGACCTTTCATTGTGACTCACGGATGGTTTAATTACTTTGTATGATATCATCATAAGGAAAATAAGAAACTTAAGCACTCGTCATAGAAATTCTAGATGATGGTCTGGTAAAGATGTTTGTTTGGAGAATATTCTAATGTCTTATTCCACCAGAAACTTGAAGAGTATGGGGGAAAAGTTTTTTTGTTTTTGAAATGTTCAGAAATCTCATTTCACCCTAGTGTTTAGCCTTGAAATAGCCAGACCTTCAAGGTATATAATCAAAGGAGATTCCTATTGATGAAATGGCCTGGGTGGGACACCATTTGTATTGAAACAATACATAACTGTAATGGTAAAGGAAAAACCAAACAAAAAATCTCTGTCACTTCAGCGAAGTGTTGAGCTAGTCAGTCTTACTATGTAAAAGTCTCCCTTGAATTTTATTGATTCTCTGTTAGCCTTCAGACTCCTGTCGTGCCTGTATCGGGAGGCTGTCTGCAGCTTGCCTCCAGGGACACATCTCTCATAGCTTTTCTCTGTGTGAAGAGCTCAATCTGTTTAGACATGGGTTCGGTTCTTGGTAGATTGAATTTCGTAGGTTCCCACCAAGCCTCATGTGGTAATGGGTCTGGTGGCTTTACCTCAGCTAAAGTTCAACAATGATACTTGCTTTAGACACTTCATAGACAGCCTAGCCCAGAAATGACTGTCCTATGTTGAAACAACAGCCTTCTCGGCAGAACCCAGTCTACACAAACATCATTAAAGCTAACAAGCTATGCAGCACTTTTTATTTTGAAAATGGTACGCTTCTTTTCTCTTAAAACAGTTTCAGAATTTGTTTTATTCTTAATCTGCCAGGCCATTAGGATGGTAGCCATTCCAGTCTGTTTAGGTTAGGTGTGTTGGTAATTCTGACTGTAAAATAAACTGGAAAAGTAATTATACATCTATAGCAGAGATGACAAAAAATTCTTTCATTTTTATTTTTGAAGTAATTTTATTTTGAACTTTCCGATCTATTATATGATATTGACACAATGATTGTATAAGTGACTATAACTTGTATAAAATAATATTTGCCTACTGACTCAACTAGAGGTACATCACAGCAGTGAACCATCTAGTCACTTGTTACTGACTCAGCTAGAGGTATGTCACAGTGGTGAACAATCTAGTCACTTGTTACTGACCCAGCTAGAGTTATGTCATAGTGGTGAACCATCTAGTCACTTGGTACTGATTCAGCTAGAGTTATGTCACAGTGGTCAACCATCTAGTCACTTGTTACTGACTCAGCTGGAGTTATGTCATAGTGGTGAACCATCTAGTTACTTGTTACTGACTCAACTAGAGGTATGTCATAGAGGTGAACCATCTAGTCACTTGGCACTGATTCAGCTAGAGGTATGTCATAGAGGTGAACCATCTAGTCACGTGTTACTGACTCAGCTAGAGTTATGTCACAGAGGTGAACCATCTAGTCACTTGTTACAGACTCAGCTAGGGGTATGCCCCAGTGGTGAACCATCTAGTCACTTGTTACGGACTCAGCTAGAGTTATGTCATAGTGGTGAACCATCTAGTCACTTGGTACTGATTCAGCTAGAGTTATGTCACAGTGGTCAACCATCTAGTCACTTGTTACTGACTCAGATAGAGTTATGTCATAGTGGTGAACCATCTAGTCACTTGTTGCTGATTCAGCTAGAGTTATGTCACAGTGGTCAACCATCTAGTCACTTGTTACTGACTCAGATAGAGTTATGTCATAGTGGTGAACCATCTAGTCACTTGTAACTGACTCAGCTGGAGTTACGTCATAGAGCCTAACCATCTAGTCACTTGTTACAGACTCAGCTAGAGTTATGTCATAGAGGTGAACCATCCAGTCACTTGTTACTGACTCAGCTAGAGTTTTGTCACTGTGGTGAACCATCTAGTCACTTGTTACTGTCTCAGCTAGAGTTATGTCATAGTGGTGAACCATCTAGTTACTTGTTACTGACTCAACTAGAGGTATGTCATAGAGGTGAACCATCTAGTCACTTGTTACAGACTCAGCTAGAGTTATGTCACAGTGGTGAGCCATCTAGTCACTTGTTACTGACTCAGCTAGGGTTATGTCACAGTGGTGAACCATCTAGTTTCTTGTTACTGACTCAGCTAGAGTTATGTCAGAGTGGTGAACCATCTAGTCTCTTGTTACATACCCAGCTAGAGTTATGTCATAGTGGTGAACCATCTAGTTACTTGTTACTGACTCAGCTAGAGTTATGTCATATTGTTGAACCATCTAGTCACTTGTTACTGACTCATCTAGAGTTATGTCATAGTGGTGAACCATCTAGTCACTTGGTACTGATTCAGCTAGAGTTATGTCACAGTGGTGAACGATCTAGTCACTTGTTACTGACTCAGCTAGAATTATGTCACAGTGGTGAACCATCTAGTCACTAGTTACTGACTCAGCTAGAGTTATGTCATAGTGATGAACCATCTAGTCACGTGCTACTGACTCTGTTAGATGTATGTCACAGTGATGAACCATCTAGTCACTTGCTACTGACTCTGTTAGATGTATGTCATAGTGATGAACCATCTCGTCACTTGTTACTGACTCAGCTAGAGTTATATCACAGTGATGAACCATCTAGTCACTTGTTACTGACTCTGTTAGATGTATGTCATAGTGATGAACCATCTAGTCACTTGTTACTGACGCCGCTAGAGATACTTTCTCTTTAGCTTAATACATATCACTGGTTGATAAAAGAGATTATAATTTACTCACTGAAGGTGTAAATTCAATTTAAAAAACATGTACATAGCACAGACGTCATCATCTGTTGTCTGGGTTCTCACGCTAACAAAGGCAATTGCAAAACGTGAATGTGTTACAAAAAAATCCTGTTTCTATTTATTTTATGGTACCAATGAAGGCCTTTGACTGTATAATGAATCTTCTGTTTACTTTTCAGTGTATTTATGGTTCCTATGTACACTCGGATATACTACCCACTTTTCACCGGCGTTGCTACTGGTTACTGCAGGTAAGGGGAGATAATCAGTGATACAAAAAAACACCAAGATAATCTGCTAAAGCTCTTAAAAAAAATTATTTTGCATGTCATGATGACATATATTTGTGGTGAAGAAAGGACACTAGATAATTTGTTAAGACCAAAGAGAATTAATCTTTCTCCATTTCTTGTTCTGTGGTTGACTTTGATTGACCATAGTTGAGCTTGGTTAATCTTGATTGACCTCTGTTTGGCTTGAAGTTGGCCTTTGCAGCCCACGGTTAATCTTCCCGGACTTTGATTGGTCTAACTTGACTTTTTGACCTTTCTATAGATACATAACCTTCCTTTATTACAGAATCCTGACATTGTGATAGTACACTACCTAAATGTTCCATACCCAGACAACACGAAGATGAAGATTCCAGTTATATCTCAGGCGTTTGAGAAGAAAGAATGGACCAAAGAGGAACTCATTGACCAACTCAGACCCATGTGTATGTATAGGAGAGCAGACTAAAAAAATGATTGTATTAAAACATTGTTTCTATTTCAAGGCCAATTAATATAAATACTACTGTTTTTCTCTATAACTTTTTATTTGGTTTCTGAAATTTGCGATTTGGACAAAATATCTCAATTGGTGGCACGGAAGTCGAGTGGTAGGACGCCGGACTCGTGATCGAAGGGTTGCTGGTTCGATTGCAGTCATGACACTGTGTTGTATCTTTGAACAAGATACTTTACTCCGCTTGTTCCAGTCTACTCAGCTGTAAATGAGTACGTGGTTTGGCAGTGCTAGAACTGTTGAATGCTAGCTGTTAGCGCCGAAATGGCAGCTCCGGCTGTATGCTCCCAAAGGAGTTAAGAAAGATATTAGATGGTTGCAAAGGCCCTATATATAACCACGGATAATAATTTGTGAACCGCTTTAAAACGACCTACGAACTGGCTTGTGATAAAGTGGTATATAAGAACCTCAAATTATTATCATTATTAATTTTTCACACTGATGGCCTGATTTTAGTTCATTTGCAGATTCTTCCCAGAAAAGCTCTTTTGTGGTTTACAGTATAACTGAGAATGAACTGGTTTCTCCAATGACAACTACCAATTAAAAAAATATTGTGTCAGTGTGATATAATCATGTTGCTGAACTTTTCTGTAGAAGATGTCACAAAGTTATAGATAAAAACTGACTTTAATTGTGTTACATTTTTTATTGAATAAAAGATGATTATCTGTGACGTATTTAAGAACCATCTATATTCTTAATTAATATTGTTTTCAAATCTCCTATTTGATTTTAATTACAGTCTCAACAGGCCGACCAGGAGAGGAGTCAGAACAGATGGTAGGTCAATGTTTTTGGGTCTGAATGTGTTAGCCCATTCCCCCTGAAATTTCATAATGAAGTATTCCAACCTTTGAATTGGACGAGTTCAAATGTGTCTTTAAGGGTGAATTAGTTAACCTTGGTATCCCAACTTCCTAGCAAGGAAATTTAAGTAATAAATTTAGTTTCATTTGTAGAAATGAACATAATTTGTATCACTTATCATTCTAACAGTGGAACCTGTCTTAACTGACATCATATAGTATTTAATTGTTAGGTTAGACATGTTAGTGTGTTACCAGTCTTATACTACAGGGTATTGTTAAAGAGAAGTGTTCGTAAAGTCAGGTGTCTGTAAACTCAGGTTTCATTGTACAGGGGATTGATGTCGAAATCATGAATGTTAATCAGTAACCAGCAGGGAATTCATTAGATTGGCATTTAGTATGATATTATTCCTCAATTGACTTAATGCAAAGAGACGTATTTTGAAGTTATGACCCTTTTTTCACCAATTTTTCCAGGGCATACATATCATTCATTCTGTCACATACAATTGTCGAAAATTTTATGCGAGTTAAATTACCTTGGGATGGCAGAGAGAAACATGCTGAAACCAGGTCTAGCTTGTACCTACAATATTAACAGAGGTAATGGCCCTTATTTTAACGCTTGTCACTTTGTCTGGGGTATATATTGTATTTACTCTATCACCAAAAATTGCCAAATTTTTTAATTGAGTCAATGGTGGAAAGTCACATGCCAAAATTGAGTCTCATTAATCATCAACAATATATAGAGTTGTGGCCCTTTATATATCATTCGTCATAGTCATAGTCCTGTGCTGAAATTTCGTCTTACACCCACATTAAACAGAGTTATGGCCCTTTATTAAGATTTGATACTATTGTTCTGGACGGAGGGAGTATTGATACCTTGGGATACTTTGCCTTGTTCTGTTATTATGTCAATCTTTATTTGATACAGATAGAGGAGTCGGTGGAGGCCCTAGTGCGACACTTGCTCGAGTACCATGAAAATTGTGATAAAACGAAACCACACAAATGTGATAAGCCCTGTGATACGATCTGTTCTCACTCCAACAACATGTACAAGCTCTCCCCACGCGGCACGCTCGCCGAACTTGACGCCTCGCGTAAGACTGAAGCTGCCACATGCTGCGGGGCCAAGACCTCCTCACAAATGACCATCATGGCAAGTTTAGCTACCAAGGGGCCAGAGATCTCTCAGACAGCTCAGTCTCAGGTAGGTTCTTTTGTTTAGGTTCAGCTTTCTAGTTTACTTGTGTTTTAACCCAAATCCAATTTCTTGTTCAGGTGATGAATTTGATAATTTTGTCAATTATTTTGAAGTGTGTTAGTGAGACTCCAAGCCAAATTTCCAATATTTACACCTGGCTTTCTCACAATGTCATATGATTTAAGTGAGTTTCAAGAAAGTTAATTGCTTGAGCACAGAATCCATGCTTGAGCATAAGAATCAATTTTCATGAATGTGGACCAAGAATGTATTTAAATGTTGAACTATTGTGATAAATGATAAAAGACCTATTTTCTGTATATAACTGTCTATAAATGTTTCTCCCCAGGGGTGTTCTACTGTAGTGGGAGTTTCTGTATATAACTGTCTATAAATGTTTTTCCCCAGGGGTGTTCTACTGAGTGGGAGTTTCTGTATATAACTGTCTATAAATGTTTCTCCCCAGGGGTGTTCTACTGTAGTGGGAGTGAAGGAGAATGTGGTGGTCCCCATCAGTCAGAGTCAGAAGGTTGTGGACATCGCCGTGACAACAGGCGACCTGGCTCCGATGCCCTATATCCTCAGTCTGGGTCACCTGCCCAGTACTAGTCGCTATCTGGTCGTCGGGGGACAAGTTAGCGCCATGCAGACCCCCATCACTGTCTCTGCTGCTTGTCATGTGCAGCCGATCTCGCACCTCATTACACAGTTACCTAGCGAGCAGTTACAAAACAACATGCACACAGCGCACCCTCACCAACATCTCCAGGCGATATCTGTGACCCTCCCGGCACCTGTTGTCGCCACACAGGCACAGGTGCCATCTGCTGACGGCTCAGGGAACAATGCCACAACACATCCCAGTCTCGTGCCCAACAATACATTTGTGTCCGGCGGCAGCGCTGACCAATCTGTCGTTCCGATGCAGGTGACCGTTGACGAGACCATCGAGAGGAAAGCGGAGCTAGACAAAGGCAATAAGCTCAATCTGTTACCTCATTACCAGCGTGTGACTGTTGAGGACGTCCAGACGGTCATACAATCACAGTCACATAAACTCTTGCCACAACTGCAAACCATTACGGCCGAGGATGTGCAGACACTCATTCAATCTCATAACACTGGTGAATCAAAAAACACCAATAGTTTAGACCTTCAACATTGTTCGATAAAGGATCCTACAAATAGCATAGAGACAGACTCGGGCTGCTTAAATTCCAGTCTCGGCTCTACTGACTACAGTTTTGATAATCTTGACTTACTAGACTTTCCAGATGTAGAAAAGCTTGTGAATGACTTAAGTACATCCGAATCTCGTGACAACTTTAACACGCGTAGTGAGGAAATGGCTGGTCCGATTCCTATGCTTAATTGTTCTAGTTGTGTGAACAACCAAAGACAGCAAGTCAGTCAAGAGAACAAAAGGTCAAGTCAAGGTCATTTGAACAATTCTCAATGTCAAATTCGGCAGCAGGCTGTCACCGACGGTCAGATGTTACATCATCATCAACATATACCCACGAGTAACCATAGTGTTCATATAAAACGAGAAGTCGAGAAAATGGCAGATTCTGGGATTACCAATGATAGTGTGATGTCCACAGAAAGACTGACTGTAAATCCGTCTGTGGGGAATAATGGGGCCATTATTACTGACTACTGCCCAGAGTGGTCATATACAGAGGTAAGAAATAAATATAGGGAAGGATGCGTATACAAAATCTGATGCAAAAAGTGTGACGCATCTTATATTGGAGATACTGGAAGGCGATAAGGGTCCGCCTTGGTGAACACTGGAAAGAAACAGTGCAGGAAATATTGTACGTAGCCGAATCGACATAGAAACTCTTATTGGTTGTGTAAAAAGAACTTTTCATAATCCATACCCACCAACCTGAAGTAAATGTTTAGAAATAGTTGACAGACTTGCTGTAGACAAAAGGTGATTTAATCCTTTCACCACTGGTAGAGCATAATGAACTCATCCATATCAATGCATGGTAGAGTCTACTCAAGTTACATAGGGGTGAAAGGGTGAAACAGCCCACCATATTATGACCGATAAGGAGCTGAAAACAGAAAATTTCCATAAACAATAATCATAGGTATGTAAGGAATATTCAAAGTTGGGGAATATACATGGTACATTATAAATTTCCTGGTACATGTATACTGTTCAAGAAATAATAGGGCCATTATTACAGACTACTGCCCAGAGTGGTCATATACAGTGGTAAGGAATGAATATCACTAAGGAATATTTATATATATATGTATATATGTAAGGAATGTATAAAGTGGGGAATATATCTGAAACGGGATACCTTTATTTCTCATTGTACTGTAGACAAGTATAAGATTCTATTTCTCATTTTAAGTATGTTGTATAAGAATTGTTTCTCATTGTAGAGGCAGTAAGATTCTGTTTCTCATTGAAACAGGTATAGGATTCCAATTCTCATTGAAGGGAAGGGGATGATGCATTCTATTTCTCATTATAGACAGGCTCAAAGACAATGTTTCTCATTGTAAAAATGGTGTTTTCCTTATTTTTAGGGAGGTTGTAAGATGCTGGTTGTGGGATCCTGGCTGTCTGCCACAGCGCAATATGTTTGTGTGTTCGATGGCAAATCTGTCCCCACCAGACTAGTCCAACCAGGTGTTCTTAAGTGTTGTGTTCCAGGTAAGTGTGTTATACAAGGTGTTTTGGCCCAGGTAATGTAAGTGTCTTACTAGTATCCTGTTTTGATTTTGAGATAGGGACAGTCCAACAGAGGGTTCATAATTCAAAGTCACTTGGTGAAAGGGGTATATAGTTATCAGTGTGCGAGTCCATTTATACTCTTGATTTTGATGGTCATTGGTTAAGATTAAAGGGTCAAAGGTCACATTGACCACTTTTGATGTCTTTTACTCTATTTCCTTAGGAGGATGTTGGGGGGGGGGGGGGGGGGGGGGGGGGGGGGGGGGCGCGGATATCGTTGGCATATGTATGTGAGTCTCTGCTCACTTTGTATCATTTACCCCTACATTTTTAGCTCACCGGGTCCAAAGGACCAAGGTGAGCTTATGCCATACTGTGGCGTCCGTCGTCTGTCGTCCGTCCGTCGTCCGTCGTCCGTCATCCGTCCGTTAACAATTTCTTTAAAACGACTTCTTCTTCTTAACCACTTATTGGAATTTAAGTAAATTTGACTGGAAGCATCCTTAGATGGTGGGGATTCAAAATTGTACAAATGATGGGGCTGACCCCCCAGGGGGCTGAGGGGCGGGGCAATAAGGAGGCAATTTGGCTATATTGCCTTAAGCGACATCTTCTCTGGAACTAAGAGATGGATATCAACCATGTTTAACTGGAAGCATCCCTAGGTGTTGTGGACTCAAAATTGTACAAATGGTTGGGCTGACCCCCCAGGGGGCTGAGGGGCGGGACCAAAAGGGGGCATTTTGACTATATTGCTTAAACGACTTCTCCTGTAGAACTATGCACTGGATATCAATCATATTTAATCAAAAGCATTCATTGGAGGCAGGGATTCAAAATTGTACAAATGGTGGGGCTGACCCCTGTGGGGGCTGAGGGGTGGGGCAAAAAAGGGTTATTTAGCTATATTGCTTTAAGCGACTTCTTCTCTGGAACTAAAAGATAGATTTCAACCATATTTGACTGGAAGCATCCCTAGGTGGTGGGGATTCAAAATTGTACAAATGGTGGGGCTGACCCCCCAGGGGGCTGAGGGCTGGGCCAAAAGGGGACAATTTGGCTATATTGCTATAAACGACTTCTTCCGTAAAACTATACCATGGATATTGATCATATTTGGTCAGAAGCATTCATGGGAGGCAGGGATTTAAAATTGTACAAATGGTGGGGCTGACCCCCCGGGCTAAGGGGTGGGGCCATTTTTTTTACTTGGAAATGGTTGAGATCCCCACCATATAACCATATATACAATTGCTGAGTATAACGAGAGGAATGCACATTTGCTTCCAGGATGGCTCTAGGGTCTGGCCCCACCCTTGGAGACTTAACCCCTGGGTCATAACTTTGAAAGGTTAAGATCCCCACCCCAAAACTATATATACAATTGTTGGGCATAAAGAGACGAATGCAGTCATGATATTAGAATTGACCCAAGGGTCTGCCCCACCCTTGCAGACATAACCCCTGGGTCATAACTTTGAAACGGTTGAGATCCCCACCCCAAAACTATATATACAAATGCTGGGCAAAAAGAGACAAATGCAGTCATGATATTAGAATTTATCCTGGGGTCTGGCCACAACCCTAGGGACCTAGTTTCTGAGTCACAGCTTGGAAACAGTTGAGATCCCCACCCCATAACCATACATAAAATTGCTGGGCATAAAAAATCAAATACAGATATGCTACAAGGATTGGCCTTGAGGTCTGGCATATTCCCTTGGATCTCATTTGGAGAATATTTTGCCATGATTGCTTAGATATCCAGGTGAGCGATACAGGCCATCTGGGCCTCTTGTTTAAATGGACTTGCCCATTCATTGATTCGGTAAGCTTCAAATGTGACTTTAGGGCTGAATGGGTTAAATGATTTCTATAACATTGCTGTGTGTGTTACAGCTCATGCTGCCGGCTGTATCAGTCTCCATGTGACCTGTGACGGCACTGTGTTCTCCAATAGTGTTCCATTCGAGTACAAGGACAAGAAGCTAGAAGAAACCACTCAGAGTCAGCAGTCAGACTGGTTTTCATTTAATGGTAAGTACTGTAACAAGATAAAAATGGATCCTTTAAATTAAATTTGATTCTTGTTAGGGCCCCACATCGGAGATCTGTAGTAATCATGGTGGCCGTCTACATATCCATTTCCGGTCATTATATGAGAAACTGAAAGACAAATCTTCCTGAAATTTTACACGGTGATATACTGTGAAATGTAGATGTGCAATAATAATAAAAAAAACAAAAAAAACACTGAAATGTATATGTACAATAAGGGTTTAAACATTTTTAGCTCACCTGGTCCGAAGGACCATGGTGAGCTTATGCCATACCGCAGCGTCCGTCGTCCGTCCATCACAACTTTTCCTTTAAAACGCTACTTGTCATGAACGACTGAGCAGATTTTGACCAAATTTGGTCAGAAGCATCCTTGTGGGAAGGGATTTTTTTTTTGTATAAATGATGGTTGTGGCCCCCCTTGGGGCTGAGGGGCGGGGCCCAATGGGGGGAAATATAGCAAATTCTTTAAAATCCTTCTTCTTCTGCAGGAATGAAAGGATTCGTTCCATATTTGGTCTGAAGCATCCTTGGGTAAAGGGGGAACAATTTTGTATAAACCGTGGGTCTGGCCCCCCAGGGGCCTGAGGGGCGGGGCCAAATAGGGGAAACATAGCAAATTCTTTAAAATCCTTCTTCTTCTGTAGGAATAAAAGGATTTGTTCCATATTTGGTCTGAAGCATCCTTGGGTGAAGGGGAACCAATTTTTTATAAACCCTGGGTCTGGCCTCCCAGGGGCCTGAGGAACGGGGCCCAATAGGGGAAACATAGTAAAATATTCTTTAAAATCCTTCTTATTCTGTAGGAATGAAAGGATTTGGTTTATATTTGGTCTGAAGCATTCTTGGGTGAAGGGGAACCAATTTTGTATAAACCGTGGGTCTGGTCCCCATGGGGGCTGAGGGGCGGGTCCCAACAGGGGAAATTTAACAAATTTTTAAAATCCTTCTTCTGTAGGAATGATAGGATTTGGTCCATATTTGGTGTGGAGCATCCTTAGGCAAAAGGGAATTTCGTTTAAACAGCGAGTGTGGCCCCACTTGGGGCAGAAGGGAGGGGCCAAATAAGGGAAACAGCAAATTCTTTAAAACCCTTCTTCTTCAGTTGGAATGATAGGATTTTTTTCAAAATTTGGTATGAAGCACTCTTGGGTGAAGGGGAACAAACTTTGTATAAAAGGTGTGTCTGAACCCCAATTTTGTATAAGCAGTGGGTGTGGTCTCCCAGGGGGAAGAAGGGCGGGGCACAATAGGAGAAATAGAGGTAAAACCTTTAAAATCCTTCTCTGACTATGTTCCCCCCATAGGGGCATAGGGATGGGGCTCTGTTTGAAGTTTGTTCTGGCTCTATCTCAAGTGCTGGATGGATCTTTCTGAAATTTCATATGTACTTACAGCACCTACCATGGAGTGTTATATCTTTACTTCATACCAATTATTTTAAACATATTCAGGTGAGCTATACAGGCCCTCTGGGTGTCTTGTCTTAAGGTCAAGGTCAAAAAATAGACTGGGGGTACGGTCCTTACTTGGAATTCAAAAGTCTTAATTTTTTTTACTTTTTAAATGATGATACAATGTGATTTGTAAATATGTGCAGTAGGGGTTGCAAATGTTACTGAAAATAAAGGGGGGGGGATGGAGCAGTCGTCGGTCAGGCACATGGCCGGGTCCTTGTTTATATCTAGCTTTTTAAGGTCGCTCACTATGCCTTCAACTGTTGTGAATTTTTAGGCTTAATGAATACCTTAACCTTAACTCGGTAAATAGTATTTTCACCGCCTAATCATGACTTTGTAACAACCTGGGAAAAATCTGTGTCAGGTCAGCATTTGTCTTACATATATATGGTTACATTTGCTTTCAATTCAAGTGCAAAGAATGTGGCTTCATGTTTTATTTCTAATTAGGTTCCATGTATGAGATGTATTGTGTTATGTTGGTATATAGACCTGTTTAAAAAGTATGTCTGATTGTTATGTAGATGACTGTCTGAAGCTGCTGCTGATTGACCGTCTGGCCGAACTAGAACAAAGACTGACCCATGTGACAAGTCCATGTGAACCTCCGCAATCTATTCTCAGACAGGTAAACGTCAACAATCCATTCTCAGACAGGTAAATGTCAGCAATCCATTCTTAGACAGGTAAACGTCAACAATCCATTCTTAGACAGGTAAACGTCAACAATCCATTCTCAGACAGGTAAATATCAACAATCCATTCTCAGACAAGTAAATGTCAGCAATCCATTCTTAAACAGGTAAACATCAACAATCCATTCTCAGACAGGTAAATATCAAAAATCCATTCTCAGACAGGTAAACGTCAACAATCCATTCTTAGACAGGTAAACATCAACAATCCATTCTCAGACAGGTACACCTCAACAATCCATTCTTAGAAAGGTAAAGGTCAACAATCCATTCTCAGACAGGTAAACGTCAACATCTCATTCTCAGACAGGTAAACATCAATAATCCATTCTCAGACAGGTTCATGTCAACAATCCATTCTCCGACAGGTAAACATCCACAATCCATTCTCAGACAGGTAAACATCAACAATCCATTCTCAGACAGGTAAACGTCAATAATCCATTCTCAGACAGGTTAACCTCCACAATCCATTCTCAGACAGGTAAACATCAACAATCCATTCTCAGACAGGTACACCTCAACAATCCATTCTAAGACAGGTAAATGTCAGCAATCCATTCTTAAACAGGTAAACATCAACAATCCATTCTCAGACAGGTAAACGTCAACAATCCATTCTTAGACAGGTAAATGTCAACAATCCACTCTCATCTATAGCTGAATGTTTATATGTCTGTAAGTCTATGTAATCCACTCCCATAGGTGAATCATCTGTAGCCAAATGTATTAACACTGCAAATTTATTTATGTCTCTTCAATGCCATTCAAAACTTAATTACAGTTTAAAGTAAAACCTGTCTAATCTGACACCTGAGTATTCTAACACCCTGTCTTATCCAACATAATACTGTTATGTATTTTCCATGAAAACTATGAAACAGGACCTGGGTATTCTGCCATCCTGTCTTATCTGACCAATATTTCACTGTTTTATGGATTTTGCTGTTTTAGATCCAGAATTTCCTGATGACTGGGGATCTGGAAGAGAAACTGGTTTGGCATGTAAAGAAGATAGCGAGTGAAACGTGGTCAGATGTGGACCCTTTTCCTAAGGCTGGTCCACATAACATGACACTTCTACACTTAGCTGCAGCCCTCGGCTACTCCAAGCTGATTCAGACTCTAGTTCATTGGCGCTCTGACAACCCATGCTGGGTACTGGAGTATGAGGTGGACGCTCGCTGTCAAGACGACAACGCCTGTACTCCACTGGTATTGAAGTTGTTGGTTTTTAGTGACACCATGACCCCAAACCCCCTACCCCTACCCCCATAACAATTGACCTGTTGTGATTCCTTGTCATAGCTCCTCACTGCATTTCTGAACAAATTACATCAAAGGTCAAGTAAGGGAATACATTGGATGAGTTCATATTTCAGGGTCCCAAGCTTAAGGTCAGTGCCAAGGTCACTGTTGCTATTTATGGGTCAACCATTGCTGTTTTTTCACAGCCTATTCAATCCCATCAGCTTACCAAATTTTTCACAAAGTTCAAATATTTAATCATCCCCAGATAAATGCAAAGCTGCACATGGTGTAATATTTTGGTATAGTTTCCAATGCAGATAATTAATAGCTTTTAACATTTCTGATTATTCTTTGCATTTGTGCTTATTTTGATTTAAGGATTCCCCCTACCACTGCCAAAAACTGGAACTGTGCATTGGAAACTGTTTTTTTCCGACGCGACTACATCTTTGATGAATCATTACTGAAAAGAAAACTAGACCTTGCAGAACATTTGTGAAAAGTAATAAAAACGAAATTCTATCAACAGCAGTGTTCTAAGTTGAAAAAGTTTAGCGGGGCTAGACTGGGATTCGAACACTGGACTTTAGTTTGTTGTGTTATTGCTCTTACCGATTGAGCTAGCTGGTCGACGGAAATGTTCTAGCCTAATTGTGCTACAGTTATATCCAAACGTTAGTTCAAGCGAGGTTACTGTATTTACGAAAAAAAACCACAGTACAGTGTACAGTGCAGTGGGACACGGATCCTTAAGATGTCTCTTTTTACAAAGTGAATGTTTCATGTTGCACAGGCATTCTATTGTTGGTTTAGATGTGTTGAAGTACGATGTGTATTCAGTGAAACCTTGATACAATGCCCCATGTTCATTTGGCATGTCACATATTTCAAGGTCATTCTTTCTCTTTTTCTTAAGAATTCCTTCGTATGTTTCACTTGATTTACTACCAAACCTCTTTATAATATCAAAATTTCTCTGGACAAATATGGTGACAGTATAACAAAGTTTTACAGTATTTGCATTTTTTTTTATGTATTTTTTTTATAATTTTCGGATCTATTCTCATTGGAAATTTACATAAACAAATAAATGTCTCACAGAATATATGAAGAAATTTGCATGAATGAAGCTTGTTTTACATTGATGTTTTATTTGTGTTGTGTCAACAGATGTGGGCATGTGGAAGGGGCCATACCCAGGCAGCTGTTGTGTTATATCATTGGAATTCTGAGGCATTACATATCCAGAACAATGAGGGTTTAGTCCCGTTAATAGTTGCTCAAAAACATGGACACTTGGAAGTTATACGAACGCTGGACAAATTACTCACTGTCAGTTCGCAAAACTCAATATTTGCGTCGGGAGGAGGGAACTTTGTGCCCATGCAGTCGTCTCCCCCGAAATCTATGGACACGCCACTCCAAACGTCCACGCCCCTCACAAAGGACATGGTTAGGGGTCTGTTTAAGTCCCCACCACCTGTGAGTACTGTGTCGCGAATGCCCGAGGCGACAACTGCCAGCTCCACGCCAACATACCCTGGCGAAGGGTTTCTGATCCGGCGACAGAGTGACCAAGCCCTCCGGGGCAATTCCGTGAGGAAGAAACTCAACAAAAGGTTTTCAGTGGATCTACTTCCTGTGCATTCCATAAGCAATGACGGATCAACAATAACAGACTCTGCTAATCGACCAATCAGAGAGACCAATTCAGAACCACAGCTCTCCATGGCAACAGACCCCATGACAAGACAGACCAATCCAATGCTGTCTGACCCAGGTCGCGACCTCACATCACCCGACATGATGATGCAGGCTGCTGAGGCGGCGTTCGAGGCTTCAAAGCACGGAGAGGCAAGCATGGAATCCATCACACTTACTCCAAGGTCACAGGGCCCCAACTCTGTCCTTATACAAATGGACACAGGTATTACATTATAAATGGACACTGGAATAACAGTTACTTCAGTAACTTAACTATATACTAATACAAATGGACACAGGTATTACACTTAGCTTAACTTCAGTAACTTAACCAGTATAGATAGTTCATCAGTGTTAAGTTTTTGATTGGTATTCGTAGCTATATTCATCCTGAAATCTTTTTAACAATTTAGCGCAACTAACATGATGGGACCTTTTTTGGTTTAAATTCACCGACTGATTATTCTACTTTTAAATGCCACATTTTTGAGGGTTGAAGCCAGGTCAACCTGCAAATCTTAAAATAGGGCTTCAAAGTTAATGTCAAGTCTGGGCAAAAAAAAAAAATCTGTCATTACTGATCCAACTGATCAAATCTTTTGAATCACTATAAACATAAATGGCCATTGTTGCTTTTTCAACTTTTTTCTTAGTTTCTTCTGAATAACCAATATTTTGCCTGTAGCTTTATTCTAGTCTGCTTTTAAGGTTACAAGTGTGAAATTAATACCAAGTGAGGGATGCAGGCCCATAGGGCCTCTTGTTTCTAATTGTATTAACAAAATAGGTTTGTGTATAACATTAACATCACTTATTAACTAAATAATCTAAATGTGTAATTATTTTTATATTAACTTAACTCATTTACACCTGAAGACACATTTGAACTCTTCCAATGAAAAGGTTGGAATAGTTCATTATAAAATTTCAGGGGTGAATGAGTTAATTATTATCAAAACTAGACTAAATAAACAATCAAAACTATTTTAAAGTTATTTGAATCCTATAAAAAGCTTAAGGTCATTGGGAAATTAAAGATGTCCAACTGGGGAACTCATTAAAAAATATCTCATTAAAATACAAAATAGTAATAAAAGATTTACCATCAAGATGAATGGGGAATTTATAAAATATCTCATTTGAAATACAAATATAGCAATAATGTACCTATTACTTGTGATAAGAATGGCCCTCAAGATGAATGGGGAATTCAAAAGATATTTCAGTTCAAATACAAATAAAGTTAAACCTGATCATGCACCTGATCATAGAGACTACCTGCAACTAGAGACCCAACATGTAGACTACCCCAAGGTGGTCTGTTGATACAGATTTGACTATAATAGTGATGTACATGGGGCAATTTGACATCAGGATATATAAACAAATGTATTTGAGATACCCACAATTGTGCTTAGAAAGTTTAGTTGTATATTCCTTTATGAAAGAGTATTTTCAAAACTAAACTCTAGGTCGTTTTGACTCTGATTGTCTAGATATAATGGATCTAAGCAGCAGTATGCTACTCATTATTACTACAAACCAAAAACGATTGTGAAATACACCGCTGGTTTCCATTTAGGAGGGGAACAAAAGAGCTTCGGAAGCAATCCTTTGAATTTCGTTAAAAAAATCTTTCTGGGTCAGTTGGGGAAAAAAATGGTTTCCATCCAATTTTCACATTATGAATTTTTTCCACTTCCACAAAGTCGTAGAAAGGAACATGGGGAACTGTTAAAGTGATAGAATACAGGCTCCGTTGCAGTGATAGAATACATGCTCCGTTGCAGTGATAGAATACAGGCTCTGTTGCAGTGATAGAATACAGGCTCTGTTGCAGTGATAGAATACAGGCTCTGTTGCAGTGATAGAATACAGGCTCTGTTACAGTGATAGAATACATGCTCCATCGCCACAGGCAGGTCATGGCTGGGTGTGAGATGGATTAACTGTCAGTGTTGAATTATTAACAAGCTTTAATTATAAGTAGTCACGGTAAAAAAGTTGTGTGTCCGTCCAAGATTAACATTTACTGAGTCTATTAACTCTGTCAGTACGGCCCTCTGGTGCCTATATATAGTGCCTAGTGGCTTCAATTAAACACAGTTTTAACTCATTCACCCCTGAAATTTAATAAAGAACTATTCCAACATTTTAATTGGAAGAGTTCAAATGTGTCTTCAGGGGTGAATGAGTTAATTAATAATTCCTGAGGTTCATGCTAACAAGGACATCTAGTATGCATTAAAACTTAACAAGCTGATACACATTTGTTGTTCAGGTGTGGTCCAATTAACTTACTTCAGCATCGTTGCTGTAGGTTCTTCGTGAACACCTATTTTTTCCAGCTGAATCAAGTCATTTTGATACATGTATAACAACTATTGTACATAGGCTTACAGCATAGCCGAATCGACTCGATTTTGTGGACAACTCGTACACATTTTACAATTTTGTGTGCATACAGTTGTCATTTGTCTGATGAAGGACCGTACCAGTCATCGAAATGTCACATAGAAAGTCTTATTGGTTGTGTAAAAAGAACTTTTCATAATTTTCTTTTTCTGTTTGTGGATTGGAATTACATGTACTTAAAAGGATTCTCTTTTAAAGTTTGATTAATAATTGATCTCAATTACAATTTCAAGAACACACAGCTTCAAAAAACATCATGTTGGATATTACAAAATAAGTGGGAAAAAGAATTTGATATCTGTTTGCCACATTTGATACGATAGCTATCTTTAATCAATGTTCATACAAGCTTGAAAGGAATCTAAAGTTCCCTATATTAGTGTTTAAGGCCTGAAAAACACAAAATATTAAGGTTTATTGTAGAAACAGTTTCTAATTCAAGGAAAAAAGACTTTTAAAGTTCCAATATAATTCTGTTTTAATGCGCTGTAGATGAACTTCCATCAGAAATAAGTAAATTATTTTTGAACTTTGGTTCTGAGTTGGTTCTGAGTCAACAACCAGGAAAGGGTTAAATACTACCATACAGACCATATCTTTGATTTTCGTTAGAGTTATGTCCCTTACATAACAGGCATTATTTGATAGTAATTAAGATTACGAGAAAATAAAATTAACTGCATACATACATTTTTATTTCTCAAAAAGAAGTTTAACCCTTTCACCACTGTAGACCATAATGGACTTATCCATATCAATGCATGGTAGAGTCTACTTAAGTTACATAGGGGTGAAAGGGTTAAGGAGGTATAGCAATGCAGCAGGATGTCTGTCCATCTCTTTGTTTTCATTACCTGGCACATACTACATATAAAGCATAATTATATGATCACATATTGAGCTTGGTACAGTATATGGGTTTCCCTATAAAGGAGGAAGAAACCTATTTATTTTGGGAATGGTTCCTCATAGGTCAAGGACATAATGTCACTGTTACTAAAAAATAGAATCTAAACCTCAGTTTAAACAATTGCACAAAGCTCATCATACTTGGTATGTGGGTTAGTCTAGAGAAGGGGAATGACCTTATGGATTCTGAACTTGGTCTGTCAAAAGTCTATAGATCACTACTTTTTAATAGCATAATTGTATCAAATGCATCAATAAGAAATGTTTCTTGGAGGATTTTTTTTTTGGGGGGGGGGGGGGGGGNTGTCCCCATTGGGGCTTTCTCATTTTGTGTATTTATAACTGAATTGTTTCATCAATCAATAAAAATGTAATAAATTAAAAAAAAAAGTAAATCCAAGGTGCTTTTTAAAAAGACATCTCACTACAATTTTCTTGGAGTGGAACTCTTTTCTTATCCCTTTCACCACTGTAGACCATAATTGACTCATCCATATCAATGCATGGTAGAGTCTACTAAAGTTAAATAGGGGTGAAAGGGTTAAAAGGTCAAGGTGCATGTCACTTTTTAGATGGCAAAGTGTTATTAACAGCCAGTAATTGTAAACACCAGCTAACTGCCTGCCTTACTTACAGATGAGGTACTGTCCTCCGCCAGTGCTAGTCCTCTCATAGACGTCGAGAATTTGTCATCTGACGATGAGGACGTAGATCTCCTACAAAGATGTATGTCGTCATAATACTCGGGTGTTTTACCCAGTTATCTCCCCTTGTGTTTAACCAGTGTTTACCTACCTTTATTGTGGTGTGATATTTCTTAATCATGTGTTATCTCCCTTGTTTGTTCTTTATTTTCCCATTATTTTGTGATTCATAACTTTCTTCCTTGTGGATTTTTTTTTTATATATATACAATGTATTTTTTTTTTAGGTCACCTGAGCTTTGCTCAAGTGACCTATTCTAATCGCTTTTCGTCCGTCGTCGTCCGTCGTGCGTCGTGCGTAAACTTTTACATTTTCAACTTCTTCTCAAGAACCACTGGATGGATTTTTTTCAAACTTGGTCAGAATCATCCTTGGTAGATGAGGCTTCAAAATTGTAAAATTGGGATTCCTACCCCAACCCCTGGGGCCAGGGCAGGGCCCCAAAGGGAAAATTAACCAATATTTCAAAAATCTTCTTCTTCAGACTCAGAGGTACTACACTCATTTTCTCTGCGTGGAAAGAAAGATCATCAGGGGCTTTACTTAAATTGTAAATTTCAGGACCCCCGAGCTATCCGTTCTCCCTTGGGGAGGGGGTAAAGTTTACTATAGTTTATATAGGGAAATAACACTTTTGGGTATATTTTGACAACTTTCTGTAGGAAATTATTTTTACTTGGTGAGAATTATCCTTGGAGGTAGATGGTTTCAAATTGTAAAATTGAGATTCCTACCCCGACCCCTGGGGCCAGGGCGGGGCCCCAAAGGGAAAATTAATCAATATTTCAAAAATCTTCTTCTCCAGACTCAGAGGTACTACAGTGATTTTCTCTACGTGGAAAGAAAGATCATCAGGGGCTTTACTTAAATTGTAAATTTCAGGACCCCCGAGCTATCCGTTCTCCCTTGGGGAGGGGGTAAAGTTTACTATAGTTTATATAGGGAAATAACACTTTTGGGTATATTTTGACAACTTTCTGTAGGAAATTATTTTTACTTGGTGAGAATTATCCTTGGAGGTAGATGGTTTCAAATTGTAAAATTGAGATTCCTACCCCGACCCCTGGGGCCAGGGCGGGGCCCCAAAGGGAAAATTAATCAATATTTCAAAAATCTTCTTCTCCAGACTCAGAGGTACTACAGTGATTTTCTCTACGTGGAAAGAAAGATCATCAGGGGCTTTACTTAAATTGTAAATTTCAGGACCCCCGAGCTATCCGTTCTCCCTTGGGGAGGGGGTAAAGTTTACTATAGTTTATATAGGGAAATAACACTTTTGGGTATATTTTGACAACTTTCTGTAGGAAATTATTTTTACTTGGTGAGAATTATCCTTGGAGGTAGATGGTTTCAAATTGTAAAATTGAGATTCCTACCCCGACCCCTGGGGCCAGGGCGGGGCCCCAAAGGGAAAATTAATCAATATTTCAAAAATCTTCTTCTCCAGACTCAGAGGTACTACAGTGATTTTCTCTACGTGGAAAGAAAGATCATCAGGGGCTTTACTTAAATTGTAAATTTCAGGACCCCCGAGCTATCCGTTCTCCCTTGGGGAGGGGGTAAAGTTTACTATAGTTTATATAGGGAAATAACACTTTTGGGTATATTTTGACAACTTTCTGTAGGAAATTATTTTTACTTGGTGAGAATTATCCTTGGAGGTAGATGGTTTCAAATTGTAAAATTGAGATTCCTACCCCGACCCCTGGGGCCAGGGCGGGGCCCCAAAGGGAAAATTAATCAATATTTCAAAAATCTTCTTCTCCAGACTCAGAGGTACTACAGTGATTTTCTCTACGTGGAAAGAAAGATCATCAGGGGCTTTACTTAAATTGTAAATTTCAGGACCCCCGAGCTATCCGTTCTCCCTTGGGGAGGGGGTAAAGTTTACTATAGTTTATATAGGGAAATAACACTTTTGGGTATATTTTGACAACTTTCTGTAGGAAATTATTTTTACTTGGTGAGAATTATCCTTGGAGGTAGATGGTTTCAAATTGTAAAATTGAGATTCCTACCCCGACCCCTGGGGCCAGGGCGGGGCCCCAAAGGGAAAATTAATCAATATTTCAAAAATCTTCTTCTCCAGACTCAGAGGTACTACAGTGATTTTCTCTATGTGGAAAGAAAGATCATCAGGGGCTTTACTTAAATTGTAAATTTCAGGACCCCCGAGCTATCCGTTCTCCCTTGGGGAGGGGGTAAAGTTTACTATAGTTTATATAGGGAAATAACACTTTTGGGTATATTTTGACATCTAAACAATAAAATAAAGCTACCAGTACCTATGATATAACTCAGGTGACCGCTAAGGCCCTTGGGCCTCTTGTTTATTTAATTTTCATTTCCATGAAAAATTGTTCCAGGTAATATTAATCCAGCTGTTTCATGGTAACTTTGGTTGCCAGATAAAGCTAGCTCTATAATTGTACACCTAAACTACCGCTAGAATCTTTCCTTAAGGATCCCCGTACCACTGCCAAAATCTGTAAGGAAGTGTTGGAAACATGACTATAGCTTTGTATAATCATTTCTGAAATGAAAATTATATCTTGTGGGACTTTCATGAGATATTCGACAATAGTGTTTTGAATGTAAAAGAACTAGGCCGAGAATCGAACCCTGGATCGACACAAGATTGATATACTATATCCCTCTAACCAATCGAGCTGCCTGGTCAACTGTGCTTCAGTTATATCTAAACAGAAGTTAAGGGGCCTCCCCTGTAACTACGGATTTTGATATGCATGCTGCCTGATTTCCCCGGACTTCATGATAAGTAGTTTTTGTGATAACGCCTCTAATACATGTTTTGTATGACAATCACAGACAGATGGGAATCCTGTTGATTTCTATGTGCCGTCCCCCCCCCCCCCAACACACACACACATATTTTAAACCCCTTACAAACATGTGCAGTATTCAATTTATTGTATTATTGTGCATGTTGTACTCAAAAATTCAAAAATTCTATCATAATATTGATTAAGGACTAACAGATATTTATTTTTGAGTACAAGCTAATAAATTGGATTTTTTGTAAAGACTGGAATACCAGAAAACGATCAGGAAAATGTCAGATTTCAATTTATAAGTATCATGTAGGATACCTTAGGTTTCCAAAATTTCTAGTGTAGCATATTTTGCGTCAATTCCTTTTTCTGAATAGTTAACTATCTTATAACCAGTATTTTACTGTAAATGTGTTTGCAGTATAGCTACCTGGTAAGTGTTCCTGTTTTGTACCTGTGTTTCCTGATTCTCTGACAGGTGTTGAAGATGACGAAGATGTCAAGCACCAGATGGTTACACTAGCCAAACAGATCATCGCCGCCATGCCAGAACGGATCAAACTTTCCCCGAGCCGTACGGACGAACCCGTCCTGGAGTTCACGTACATGAGGGAGAGAAGCGGATCCTACAGTTCCATTCCGTCACAACCATCGCCGCATGCATCGTCGTACGAGGAAGACTCCGGGATATCGACACCGATGGGCGACGGTCTCGCTTTTGATGAATATAGGTTTGTGTCTACTGGACATGGATTAATTTTCCTTCTTTCCTCTCTTTTTTTATGTGGTAAAACTTCCATAGTTATGTTCAACAAACATACTGCAAGTTATGTTCAACAAACATACTGCAAATTATGTTCAACAAACATACTGCAAGTTATGTTCAACAAACATACTACAGGTTATGTTCAACAAACATACTGCAAGTTATGTTCAACAAACATACTGCAAATTATGTTCAACAAACATACTGCATTAACATTAATTATCGCAACAGCATTATGGTCAGCAACAAAAATAAACTCTGTAATAAAAAAATAAGGCAACTTGTATGTGCGCAGTATGCAATTTGTCTATTTTTGCAGGTTATAAATATAGCAAAAAATAGAAGTGTACTGAGATGTTAATGGTATATGTTGTCATAATAGATGCTCCTCCATCTATTGTTAACACTGTTGTACTTTTCTCTCCCTGGGGTTATGACAGGATGTATATACAGATTTTGTAAATTGTTTACACCACAGCTGTTTTACCATATTACAGGAATTTGTATTTTACCTAACAGGTACGCCAATTTTTACGGAATTTTTTCATTTAAACAGGTACACAGATCTTGGCACTCCAGCATCGTCCCTGAGCCCAGACTCCACCTGTCTGCCGAGCCCCTACAGTCCGTACAGTTTCTCTCTGGACTCGCCTCCGCCCACTACCGCCGAGTTCACCGAGTACTTTAATGCCCCAGCCACTTTCATGGAGAAGGATTTCTCACAGCTCACCCTGTCAGGTAGGCAAGTCGGGCAACCATTACTTCACAAGTATTATGATTTACTGTTACATTTTGTCAGTGAGATACCAAATTCTGTCATCTTGATAAAACTGATATGTTTTACACTGTAACAGATGTCAAAAATGATTTTTGTCGCAGCGTGAAGATATCAGTTTTGGTACTGATCAATCAAAACGGTTATTTCTGTAATCCTCATTAAGATTCATCATTTTGGAAATATGTAATATCAAAGTGTTACTTTATACACAAACAATGTACGTATTAAACGTGTTGCAACATTTCAAGACCAACCTGTCCCTATGTCTGACTATGACTGAGTGAGCAACTCATACTGTTTACCTTTACAACAAGGTGACGAAATTGAGGACTTCATATGTTACTTGCTTAATGGACATTTCACCTATCCTTAGAGCGTGCATACACACAATTTGAAATAGGTTCTTTCTTTTCATTGAATCCAAAACTGCAGATTTCAGATGCAGATAAAGCGCAATAGAATAAGTGATTACTTCGGTAAATCTTTTCTACATCAACTAATATTTATAAAACCTCACAGTTGATAAGGTTTTGTAATTAAATTTTATTAGATCAAAGCTGAAAACAAAAGGAGGCTTGTGTTGAGTAGCCCATCCAAAAGGGAGTGCAACCTTGTTGTCATTACGTAACGTTAGAATATGGTGCCCAGATTACGCTATTAACTCATTAACCCCTGAAATTTTGTAATGGACTAATTAAACCTTTCGATTGGAAGAGTTCAAATTTGTCTTCAGGGGTGAATGAGTAAAATCTCCAACTGTTTTGATGCACTAACAGTTTCATCATATGTGCTGCCAACCATCGCATATGACATGCATGGTATTCTGGTGTCTGCAATAGACTAACGTACTGTTGCGTTTCGTTTTATTTTGAGTATATATTCTTTGTAATATCACAGAGATCTAATGTTTGAATCAGTGCACATGCCCCGTTCTCCAACTCTTAGAGGCATACCGTATTTAATGTAATGAAAGGCTCCCAAGGGGATTCAATGCATTCACCCCTGAAATTTCATAATGAACAACTCCCAACATTTGAATTGGAAGAGCTCAAATGTGTCTGCAGGGGTGAATGAGCTAAGATATATCAGTCTGATATTTTTATCATAAAATTATAGAATTTTTCTGAACCAAATTTGATAAATTCCAGACGTTTTCATTTGGACTGTTTGTGACCTTTTAATGTTTTCCTTTGATAGATATAGAACAGAGGAAGTTGTACGAGGCGGCTAAAGTGATTCAAAGTGCGTACCGACAGTACAGGGACAAACAGCAGCTACAACAACAGAAGGAGATGGAGGCAGCCGTTCTCATTCAGAAGTACTACAGACGTTATAAACAGGTAACTTTACTGAATAAATTTGGTTTCCATGGTTACACACACTTTGGTTTCCATGGTTTTGAAAGTGTGTAACAAATATCATTTATTTTTCTCAGAGAGTTGTTCCAGAAAAAAAGCATATCTTAAACAAATTGTATTTAAAAAAAAAAAAAATCTTTTTGCAATCAGTTAACCCATACACCCCTAAAGTCACATTTGAACTTTACCAAATCAAAGACTGGGCAAGTCCAATTTAAATATGTAGGGATGTATGAGTTAAAATATAAAATGGAGTATTACATTAAAGCCTCGCTATACTGCCACCATTTGTCCAGGAGAAAATTTGGTGTTATGAAGGGGTTTAGCGATAAATTGAGGGAACTGTTCAAAGGAATTCTTAAGAAAACGAGAAAACAAGAAAAAGGGGCATTGAAATATGTTGGCGGTAAACGAGGTGGCCAATAAAACGAAGGGCATTATGACTTTTTGTGCATTGGTGTCTCAGTATGCATACTACAAGAAGATGACACAGGCAGCAGTGTTGATCCAGAGTCAGTTCAGGAGTTACTACGCGCAGAAACGCTTCAAGAAAAGTCGAGATGCAGCCGTCGTGATCCAAAACCAGTACAGAACCTACAAGGAACATGAAAGGTTAAAAAAGGGAGGCAACCAATCTGTCATCATTCAGCAAAGATTTAGGTATGTACTAAATTGCTTATGGCTGAATGAAAATAGCATATTACTAGTCGCATTCTAAAAAAAACACTAAAAAAATATCTGTTTAAAGATGTTTTGAAAGGATTTGAAAAAGTCATAGATGGACCAGATTAGGAACTATAATGATAATCATTGCTCCAGATATTTTACCTGACCATAATATTGGTCTTGTTGGCTAAATCTTTTGATGATGTTTCTTAACTCATTCACCCCTGAAATTTCATAATGAACTATTCCAACCTTTGATTTGGAAGGGTTCAAATACATCTTCAGGGGTGAATGAATGAAGTTTAGGAAGGCCTGTTTTGTAGTTGAATTTTTAGTTTAAACCATTCACAGAGGAATCAATCTGGTTGTCAATTCTGGAACATAAATATACACTTAATGTACATTATGTTGTTTTGTATATGAAGATACAGCTCTGCAGGTTATATTTTCTAACTATTTCAAATTTCTAGGGAATATTTTGTAATAAACATCGTATAAATTTAGATATAGACGAAGTTTTATTGGTGCTCATGACATTAAGGCCCCTTTCACGTATCCGGTTCAACCATTTCAACCAGCCAAACCTGACAAGAAAACGACAGGCACAGATCTGAAACGAGGCTGACCTCAGGAATATTCGGCACGTGTAGATTGAGGGGTCCGGATCCAGACGGGCCTGACCGAAACTAAAATGCTGACTATTGCTAGTTTGCATTATTCCTTTATAAAATAAGGTTTATTCACATGTTTTTTTTTAGGATACGCTATATAATTTAGTGGAGGCGTGAAAGAAGGACATATTGTTCTTGATCTATTGTTAGTCCCCCACCGGGAACCGGGGGGGACTATAGTTTTGCATCGTGTCCGTCCATCCTTCCACTATCTTGTCCGGGCTCTATCTCGTACACTACTTGTCACTGGAACTTCATACTTTGGGTATGGGTTCAACTTGGTGAGGCCATGTGTCATAAAAAAGTAGGTCACTCTGACCTATATTTTGACCTTTGACCTGCATCAAAGAAAAAGTTTGTCCGGGCTTTATCTCCTACACTACTAGTCACTGGAACTTCATGCTTGGAGTATGGGTTCATCTTGGTGAGGCGGTGTGTCGTATATCAAAGTAGCGCTAGGTCATTCTGTTTTTGACCAGGTCACTGACACTATTCCTTATTGAATACGGTGGGTCTGTCAAACATTCATATATAGAATTAGTTCCTGTATGAATTTATCATCTGTGCATTTCACATTCGGTGGGGGACAATAATTTTCCGAATTGTCATGTTATTCATCTATCAAAAAACTCCAAAACGGAGTATTTTTTTGCTCTGCCTTCAGTTTGTTCGAAATTCGATTGTTTATCGTGGAATATTTCTGACCAAAATCTTAATCTGTTCAAAACAGCAAATTTGCAAATCAACTTACTGTCTTCAACTCTTTCCTTGGAAACAAATTGGAAATTTCTATGGATGTGTAATTCGAAAAGTATGCATATGGTAGCAGTTGGAAGGTTTGAACAGTTTCTCAAATCTATTGACAATCTTACAATGTGTTTTCAGAAGTCACTACCAAAGGAAGAGTTCTGACGGAACAGTTCCAGAGGGTCACATCGTCCAGCTTGTGTCAGAGGCTGGAGACAGGTAAGGGAGATAACTGTAGTTTTATTAATTGGTCTGAAGGGATGCTTTTGGTTAACATATATTTAGATTTTTCTAATATGGTGTTGGAATTTTTACTAACTGTTATTATCAGTTTGTTTATTAATCATTGACTTATTAACAAATTTTAACATGCATGACACATGTAATAAATATAATATTTGTTTTTGAACATATTGTTCAGCTTGAAATTTTGATAAAATGAATTCACTACAATATTGATGAACTGAAAATAAGATAGCAAACACATCACATATCAATATTTACACTGAATGATTTCTATATCATAATATTAGGAAATGAGGAAAAAGAAATCAAAGTTATTAAACTGTAAGAAATGTAGAAGCAGTAATATTATGATTTATTTTTTACCTCAAAATATTGTTCCAAAACATTTTAAAAAATCTGTGAAATTCCAAAGAGTAGATTTATTTATAATCTTCAAAACAATTTAGTATATGTAAATAGTGCAGAGATTTTATGAAGAAATCTATAATTTTGAGCAGCAAGAAATATTTGAATATAAGTTATTCATAGAATTTATGTCAAGATTTAGAAATTTGAAAAATATAATATTCATATTCCTGGAGCTTCTAGATACATGTGTATAAAAAAGCAGCTTATTTAAAAGATTTTCATTTAAGTAATTAAAAAAAGAAGTTAATATAAATGTTAAATTATTAGAATAAGAGATTTTCAAAAAAAATTCTATCAAACTTTAAAATATGTAAATAAGTTTGCGAAAAGTTAAAAATAATATTAATAATGTTGAAGGTTTAAGATATAATTACATCAGATTATTAGTTTTCCATAAAATTCCCTATCTGACTATAAGTTTGATTTGTGTCAAAAAGTAGAATGAGCTTTACTTAGAATTTCTTATCTAACTCCAATTTGTAGGTTTATTTCAGAAAATGGTGTATAATCTTGAAGCTTTTAGGTTGAAAACGTACCTATACACTGTCCAAACTTTTCATAGAATTTCCAATCTAATTCCAATTCGTAAGTTTGATAAATATTAGAAAATAGATCTTGAAACTCTTTATAAGTATATCAGGATATGAAGAATAGTTGAGTATTAGTTTTCAGTAGAACTCATATTATTCTTATTCTAATGTATTTTGGTGTATTTAACCTGTGCTTAACATATAGAGATGTCTGGAAAATTGTGCATTTACGACGGGTATGTAGTTTACTTCCTGCTGTTGCTAAGTAGACTAGCTATTGTCACGATATGTGTGTTGTGTGGTGGCCTGGCGGGGCTGTGCTTGTTGACCCTTTCACCCAAAGTTTCACACTCGGGCGGTCTGACCCAGTAATTGAGTGGCAAATTTAGAAATAATTTATTTGCTCGGATATTCAGAAATGATAATCAATATATAAATAAAAGAATCTGGACTAGTTTTGAGTTTTCAAAAACTTTTTTGTAAAAATTGTAAAATCTGTTTTAATGAAGATTGAATGCTTTTTCATGTAATAAATACTGTAGAGAAATTAGACTTCGATCATGTTTGTAAACTTCCTGTGCTTGGAAAATAGGAGGGGTTCATATCCAATGGACCTGTGCAGCCAAACATTTAAAGCCGATAATATCCAAATGGCGAATTATCTTTAGTATAAAAGATATTCTTTTGTTGAGGGTTGAAAAGGGTGAACAATTTTGCAATCTTTTGCATTTTGCCTCTGAATTTTGTTTAAGTTGTTGTGTGTAAAAACAGTTACAATTGATTGGTTGTTTCATCAGTCGACCAAAACGAAGCGGTAACTGTTCAATTTCGCTTTCACGTCAGTTTAAAGATGTTTCCTGGAAAACATTAATTGGGGCATGCATGAAAATGAACCGAAGACTGTAAGCTTAAATATATTGGACTGTTTATTTTTGTCGGTTGGTCAAAACTTCAGTAGAGAAATACGAATGTATTTCATGATAAACTATCCTTGTTCTACTGAAGTTTAATCTTAAGCCAATCCTATAGAAGAAAAAAAAAAAATTCTTAAATACATTTCACTTTGTTGTAAGAACTTTAATGTCACGTTACTGTGGTACTTTTACTTTTTCTATGGAGCATGATAACTGGAATTTGTATGTTAACTCATTCTCCCCCTGAAGACACATTTGAACTCTTCCAATTAAAAGGTTGAAATAGTTCATTATGAAATGTCTGGGGTGAATGGGTTTAGTAAGATATTGCAATTAACATGTGACATGTTTTATTTTTTCTTCTTACCTTTATCTACTTTTTGAGATGTTGTGAAAGTGTTTTTTTCCTTGTTCTTAATATTTAAAATGTTTATGTTAGAAATACACAGATTAGAATAAGGTATTGCATAATTAACCCTTTTACCACTGTAGATCATAATGGACTCATCCATATCAATGCACGGTAGAGTCTACTTAAGTTACATAGGGGTGAAAGGGGGTTAAAGGAGAGGTGGCCAACATAACCAGGTAGTGATCAGTGGGTTTTCACCGATAGTTTGAAATATTTGTAGAAATAATGACTGTTTCATTATGAAATGAAGTTTAATACCCACACCCCACCCCCGCAAAAAATGGGTCATACATATATATTTTTACCCATGTCTTTCCCATCATGTGACCTTCTGTCTCGTCCCAGGATTCCCCTTGTGGTTCAATGCCACAGTTTTACAAGCTTCATTTCCTAAACGAATCCCCGCACCACTGTTCTGGGTGTAAAAAGTTAAGCAGGGCTAGCTATAGACTGGAACAAATGTTGAATATCATGGTTACTTTTCTGTATTTTTTATAACAGTTTAAGACACAAGAATTTTATGGATTACTCCAAAGTTCGACCTCAGATGTTCACATTTACATTTGATATTAGTTAGACACTGATGCACCTTTTGCCTTTTTTAATAGGAGAACATCTGGACAAGAAAGGGGCTCAATAATAAGCCTAACAGGCACTCCTCCTTTCTTTTATTTGGACATACACATGTATTAGATTTGAACAGTATTCTGTTTGTTATTTCTGGTTCCAGGACCTTTTTCAGTATTATATGTTGTCGAGTAATTTCAATACTCAGTGAATTTTAATATATGAAGATAAACTCAAGAGTATGTATCATTATGCAGATGCTGATATACCATTTCAATTACAGGATGTCTTGAAATAGCGTTAATGACCCCCACCCCCCACCC